TTAGATGAGTTAAATAAATACATAGAAGTATTAAATTACGTCCAAAACATATCTACAGTAGGATAACCGCCATGTCCTTATGAAAATGAGATTAATTTTATGGTCCCATTTATTCGAATAATGGCTTATGTGAGTAACTTTGTAGATACAGAATGTCGGAATCAGAAAATAGTATATTCAAGAAAGAAATAGAAGTACTAAAGAAAACAATACGGTACATTCTGCAGGAATAATAGACTTTGATGAAGTATTAAACATAATGATACTAAAATACAGGTAACTAGTAAATCGTGCTAAAGTTTATGTCATAAATGCTTTCGCGGCTTGTGATTTAGATGGAAATGGTGTTTGTAATTTGTAAGAATTTCTCATTTTAAATAAACATATAGAACCTGATATTTATGATGAAGATATTTTAAGTTAAATTTTTGAAAATAACGCAGATATAGTAAATGATGAAGGAATAAAAAATTTAACTTTCGATAAATTTGCAGTTGTTTGTGTAGAATATAATTTGTTTACAGATGAAGCTTAAGACGAATTTTTGGGAATTAAACATAAAAGAGAAATTGATTTTAAAATGGAACAACTTAAAGTTGATTGGGAAATAATGTTAAAAAATCAAATATAAGATATGTTTAATAAACTTTAAAATATTTCTAAAGACCAATTACTTAAATGGAATTAAATTATTGAAGTTTTAGATTAATAAATTTAAAAATCAACACCATAAGAATATAAGCATTTACTTTTGGCTTATAAAATATTAGAAAAAGAAGCCAAAAACCTCTTTTAATTAGAAGAAGACCTTAAATAAGATGAAATTCTCCTTAATTAATATCATGAAAAACATCTTAAATAAAGAAATAGATTATAAAGTGATACAAAAAATAATAGCATTGTTTTAATTAAAAAAAATAATAAAATTAATATATAAAAGAAAAAAAAAGTAATAGCTAATAATAATTTACTCAATATTCCAATAATGACTGGATACAATAATATAAGTAACATACAAAGTGTCATTAATAGAAAAAAAAAAAAACAAATTGATGCTAGCTAAATTTCTAATAAAAACAATTGTTAGAATAATAATAATAATAATAATAATAATAATAATAATAATAATAATAATAATAATAATAGTATTAATAATATTGATCATAATAATAATGACAAAATTAATAATATAGAATGAGATATATAATTATATATAAAATTATATATGTTATATAATTATAATTTATATCTAATTTAAATATATATATATATATACATTAACATATTTTATATATTTATTTTATTTTTATATAATTAGCTAGAATTTATTGGCATTTTCTTACAATTAAAAATATTTAATAAAAAAAAAAAAAAAATTATTAAGTTTATAATTAAGCATAACATAAGAGAGAAATTCTTTAATAAAAAAATAAATATTGAAGACATAAAATTTCACTCATAAATTTTTTTAACAAAAAATTAAAAAACAGAATTATTTTATTTATACTACTCCCTAATTATTATTTTAAATTAGTTAAATTATATATTTAACTTATAAAATAAAGTCATAAAACATAATAAGGTTATATTAAATTTAAAAAAAATATTTAAAATAAACTAAATTATATGAAAAGATAAAAAAAAATCATAAATTCCTTATTTTATAAATAAAATGTGAATTTTTAAATTTAAATAATTTAAATATTACACTTATTATTAGAAATAATTTATTAATATGAAAAATTTCAAGAAATATATATAAATTGCTTTCCTATTAGACTTTAAAAAAATTAAAGTAGGTTTTATATAAAATAAAAATATTTTATTTATTTTTATGAGAAGAAAAATAAAAAAATCTTTATTAAATAAATTAAAAATAATAATAAAAAAATATTAATATGCAAAATTTTAATTACATATATACTAAACTGAAACTGTATAATATTTTTCTTAATAAAAATAATACAATTTTAATTAAAATTAAAATATTTAAATTTACATAATTATATTTATATAATTAATTAAAAATAAATAATTCATTTTATATTAAAGTTTCTTCTATATAATAATGAAAAATATTAGAATTCAATATTAATTAATATAAAATAAATTTTAATATTAAACATATAATTTTACATAATTAATAAAAATAATTAACCGATATATGGATATAAAAATTTAATTTAATAAAATACTTTATAAGAAAAAAGAAAATATTTTTTTTTTTTTTATAGAAATAATAAAACTTATTTAATGTATTAAAGATATAAAGTTATATTTATAAAAATTATACAAAGAAACTAAATAATAAAATAAAAAATTTAAAATTATATAAAAAATCAAATTAAAAGCATTTAGATTATACATAATCTGAATAGTAATTAATACAATATTTCTAATAAATAAAATCTGCAATAAAAAAAAAAACTTAATATAATTAAGAATTCTAAAATAGAAGAAGCTTAAAATATTAAGCGATAGATTTAATAAACTAAATAAAATCAAAAAGAAATTTAATAGTCAATTCTAGAATAAAATAATTAAGTTATATAAATAAGACAAATATATATTTAATTATTAGATGAAGATAGTAAATTATAGTTATAAATATCATATATATGTAAATTAAAAAAGCTATAATTATAATAAAAATAACATGCATTTGATTAATATTTTTAATATATATAATAATTGATTTATTAGTTTATAAGAAAATATATTAATATTTTTAAATTAAATACATAAATAAATATAGATTTATAAAATATTAATTGAAATGCTTAAAAAATAAATTAACATTTATTTTTTTAATTTTAAATTGATTAAATAAAAAAAAGTATATTTTTAATTTAAATAACAATGAATTAACCTTAAAATCCTTAAGATTAATAATATAATACTTAATATTAATAATATAACCCTTAAAGTTAATAATATAATATTTAGTATTAATAATAAAATGCTTAGAATTAATAATATTATCAAAACTAAATATCAGATTTTCGAGTAATGTATTAAATAAATCAAAACTTAGATTAAATTGATTAAAATTACCTCACCTCAAAAAATGTAACTAAAATATTTAAATTTTTAAAATAATAATATAAATAGATATCATATAATTATGATGAAATAAAGGAATATGGTTAATGCAAACATTTAAATACTAAAGTTTATTATAAAATACTTTATTGCGATTTATTTGTTTGTTTAACTTGTTTTACTTTAGGTATTATAACACTGATAGCTGCATTATTTTTTTTTATTATTATAATTATTATAACGTTATTTGATAATAAAGGAAGTTGTGATGAATGCGATCGTTATTGTGATAATTGTTGTATAGTGTGTTATAATTAAGGAAGTAATTACCATTATGACACTTTTGAAAGAAAATATACACATAAAAACGATAGTGAATGCTTTTTAGCTAACGTTGAAGATTGCAGCATACCCGCAGAGGCAGATTTAAAATGTAAAGAATGTGGAAAAACTCTAAAAAGAGAAGTTATAAATAAAAAAAATTAATTTATAGTATTATAGCAGGAGTAATAGGTATTTTTTTATTTGCAACAGCTTATTATTATTATAAACAATATAAATAATAAGTAAAATGAATTATAAAATTAAAAATAAAATAAATTTAATAAATTTTATTAAAAATTAAATTATATATAATATTTATTCTAAAACTATAAAACAAAACAAAATAAAAAATGAAAATTATATAAAATAAAAAAAAAATCATTAAGTAAAAAAAATTACTCAAAATTATATAAAATAAAATGTACATTTAAAAATATAAGATATTATAAAGATAAAAAATAAATATTTAAATACATATAAACATATAAAAATATATATTTATATATATTATATATATTATATATTTATATATTTATATTTTTTATTAATTAATTTTTATATATTTAGATTTATTATACATACATTTTTTTTTATTATATTTTGTAATTTATATTTAATATTTTTATTTTTTTAAATCTCATTATATTAATTAATTTATATTATCTTTTTTTTTATATATATTATTTTAAATTTTTTAATCAATATTATTTTATATATTTTATTAAATTTTTTTCACAATTAAATTTTCTGCTGCTTCGATTCTTTGTTAACCTACTTAGTTATGTGTTACTTCTCTAATTTCAAATATTTTTTTCATACTTTCTTAAGTATTGTATTTTAATAATCTAAAAATACAATAAGTTATAATTCCTGTTCTATGAATTCCTGCCGCACAATGAATTATTATATTTTCATTACTTTCATCTATTATATTAATAATTTAGATTAATTTTTAACAAATCATAGATAGTACTTATTTATTTGATAATAACGATTGATTCGCTCCTTCTAAAGGTATATGTAACCATTTAAGCTATAATTATTTACAATATTATTAAATTTCATTTGCATGCTCTTTCAATGATTATAAAGTTATAACCATTGTTAAATTTTTTTAATTTTTAAGTAAATATAATTAATTTTTTGTTGGGCGATGCCAAATACTTAAATAAGAGTTTTTTATTTAAACAAAATTAATTTAATTTATTTATTCTTAATCTTTAATGGCATGTTTTTTATTTAATTATATTTTTTATGTTTTAATTTTATTTTCTTTTTATAAATTTACTGTATTTATAACATCCATTTTATTGCTTTATTTATTTATATTTTTTTAAGTATATTATTATATTTTATTCTTAATTTATTATTGTTCTTAATTTTTTTTTTTTTTAAATTATTAAACTTCTATTATATAATAAAATTTAAATATCTTATATAATAATATTTTATCAATTGATAAATAAAAAATGTATCAATAAATATAATTATATTTATTATTTTTTTTATTTTTTTATAAAAATGTTTTTTATATAAATGAATTCAAAAAAAAAAAAAAAAAAAAAAAAAAATATTAATATAAACAAACATATTAATTTTATAAAAAAAAAAAAAAAATTAAAAAAATAACTAAATCAATAATCTGAATTATCTGAATTTATTTAAATTAAATATTAAGAATTTACATTTATTTATTTTTAAATGTTTTATTCATATTTATTTAAACACAATTAATCTTCTAAATTATTAGATTTAGTCTATATCTAACTTTAATTATTTTACCCTTCTTTTTCGACTGTTTATTTTTCATTATTTTAAGGAGTTTAATTATCTATATCATTGACAATATTTTTGTCTAAAAAGCTATGAAGATTTCCTTATTTAAACAAATCATTAATTTAATCATATTGATTCTAACATTAAGTTTAATTCAAAGACTTTTAGAAATCATCTGTACTAGTACTAGTATAAGATTACTTATATAAATTTAAAGAATAATTCATAAAGAATAAAGAATTATAACTATTTTAATCAATCTAAAAAGCTTTTTCAAAACAAACAGCAGCTTTCAAAAATTAAGAAAGTTTAAAATAAGAAACTCCAGTATTTTAATAAGCTAAAGAATATTAATTATTTATAGAAATAGCTTTAAGAAAGCAAGGAATAGCATCCTAATATTTTTCCTAAAAATTTAAAGCGGTACCAATATTACTATATGCCTCAGAAAATTCGCTATTTATTTTTATAGCCTTCTAATAACATTTTATAGCATCAGTAAATTCATTTAAAAAAAATAAAATTATTCCTTTATTATTATATGCCTCGGCATAATTTTTATTTATTTTTATGGCTTTTTCATAACATTTCATTGCTTTTTAATACTCTTGAATTTCCGTTAGTGCAATTCCTTAATTATTATAAGCTTAGTAATATTTTTCATTTATTTCTATCGCCTTTTCGAAACTTTCGATTGCTTCTTTAAATTTTTTTTGCTCTTTTAATGCTATTCCTTTTTAATAATGTGCTTCTGCATGCTTAATATTTTTGCTTAAAATCTATTCAAAACAAAAAATAGATTCTTGGTATTATTAAAGATGAATTAATATATTTCCTTTATTAAAATATGCAATTTCATATTCAGGATTTTTACTTAAAGCCTCTTCATAACAAAGTAGAGAACATTCATATTTTTAAAGCTTTTTAAATGAATTTCCTTTATAAATATAGGCTTCTAAATAATCAGGATTAATTTCAATAACTTTTTAAAAGCTATCTATAGCTTCATCATATTTTTAAATATTAAAAAAAGCAACTCCTCTATAAAAATAAGCCTCTAGAAAAGATTAATTAAATTAAATAGTTTCATCAAAATAATTAATGGCTTCCTAAAATTATTCTAAATTATAAAAAGAAATACCTAAGGAGTAAAAAACCTCATAATTTTTACAATCTAATTTTAAGGCTCTTTTATAATATTCAATAGCTTCTTAATATTATTTAATTTCGTTTAAAACCTTTGCTTTTATAAAAATAGCTTAGAAATCGTTTTCGTTTAATAAAATTGCTTTATTTAAACATTCTAAAGATTATTAATATTAAAATAGATTTTTTAAACATATTCCTTAATTTAAATAAGCCTTTTAATTATTAGGTTCCATATTTATTATATTTTAAAAACACTATGATGCTTTTTCAAATTTTTTGATTAAATTTAAACATATTCCTTTATTGAATTAAGCTTCTATATTATATTAATCTATTTTTAAAGCCTAATCAAAATAAGAAATAGCTTTTTCATATTATTATATTTCAATTAATGCTTTCGATACATTAATAAAAGTTTATAACAAATAAGAATTTCCTTGAAAGACTTACAAATTAATTTCTTGATTTTTTTATTGGTTTAAAATAGTTTCATCAGATTAACTCTTTTATATAATTTCTTCATAACATTTAATAGACTCTTAATAATTTTAAAGATAAAAAAAAAGAATATTTCCTTTATTGTATAAACTCGCAACATTGAAATTACTTATTTCTAGAATTTAATCATAACAGTTTATCGCTTCTTGAAAGCTTCTTATTTCAATCAATAAACTACCTTTATTAAATAATCCTTCAATATAAAATTTATTTATAGACAAAGCCTTTTCATAATTAAAAGCCGCATCTTTATATTTTTTTAGATTTTAAAAAGAGTTCCCAATATTATTATAAGATTTAAAATCTTAAGGGTTTATTTCTATTACTTTCTGATAACATTTAATGGCTTCTGAGAAATTTTAGAGATAATAAAATGCATTTCCTTTATTAAAAAAAGGATCTTAGAAAATTTCATTTATTTAAATAGCTTAATCATAACAAGAAATAGCTTCTAGAAATTTTCCTAAAAAAAAATAACAATCTCCCTTTTATAAATAAATATAATAATCATTCTAATTTATTAATTAAGCTTTTTCATAATATTCAATAGCTTTTTCGAATTTTTCTAACTTTTTTAATATATTTCCTATAAAAAAAAAAATATCAAAATCCTTATTATCAACAATTTTTTCAAAATAAAATAGTGCTTTTTCGTATTTTTCAAGATAATAATAATTTTTCCCTATATACTAAAAAATATTTTCTTATAAAGGATATATTTATAATATTTTTTCAAAACAATCGATACTATTCTAATATTATTTTAACTTCATTAATAATTATCCTTATTTTATTAAATATTTTAGATTTTACTTATCAACTTCAATTACTTTTTCTAAAATAATTAGAGCATCATCATATTTTCTTTAATTTTTTAATACTTCCGCTTTTATCTTATAAGCTTTAATAAAATAAGGATTTAAACTAATAGCTTTATCTAAATATAAAATAGCATCCTCATATTTTTTCAATAAATTAAGTATTTTACCTTTCTTATAATAAGCTGATGTATCATTAGGATTAAGAGTAATACATTTATTATAACAAAAAATTGCTTTTTCATACTAAACTAGAATTTTATAAACATTTCCTTAATTGAAATATGCATTTGGGAAATTTGGATTTATTTATATACAAAATTAATAACTATCAATAGCTTCTTAATATTTTTTTTGGTAAAATAAGATATTTCCTCTATTATTATAAGCTTCGAAAAAATGGGGATTTATTTTTATTGCTTTTTCGAATTAAATAAAAGCCTCAACATTTTTTTAAAAAGATATTAAAATATTTCCTTTATTAAAATAAGCATTAGAATAATTAGGATTTATTTCAATTGCTTTTTCATAATATTAAATTGCTTCCTTATACATTTTTAGCTTAGTTAATGAATTTCCTTTATTATAATAACATTCAAAGTCTTATTTATCTAATAAAATAGCTTAATCAAAGCATTTATTAGCTTCTTCATATTTTCTAAGATTCATAAATATATTTCCTTTATTTTTTTAAACTAAACAATTTTAAGGATCTGCTTTTTCATAAAATTTAATAGCTTCATTAAATTTATTAAGTGTATTTAAAATATTACCTATACTAATATATGCATATGAATTATTTTAATTTATTTCAAGAGATTTTTTAAAGTACAAAATAGCTTATTTATATTCTTGAATTTCTATAAAAATATTACCAACTTTATTATATATAAAAAAATTATTATCACTATTTTCATTAATTTAAAGTATTTTTTCTTAATATTAAATAACTTCTTAATATTTCTATATTTTATATAAATCTATTCCTAAATTTTAATATTATTAAAATCTTTAAGGTATATAATCATTTGAACATATTTTTAATATTTAATAAATACTTTCGATAATACTTATTCTCTAATTTTTATCTTTGTGCATCATTTTAAAAATTATCTCTAGTAAATCTTTATTATTTTTTTATTGAATATCAGGGTATTAACCATCATAGATTTACTTAATTTCATCTAAAGTCACTTCCAATAAATAAACTATTATACATCCAATACTCCACCAGTCAGATTATTCACATATTGTATATTCTCTTAAATAATCAGGTCCTAAAAATAAATAACTTTAATCATCCTTTTTATCATTTAAGTTTCTAGAATATATAAAATCTGTAATTTTAGGTACATATTCATTATTTTCTTCATTTATCAATATATTCTCAGGTTTTAGATTTCCATGAATTATATTATTATTATGTAAATCTTGTAAACATTCTAGTATATTTATTATTAATTAGATTATTTAAGTTTTATTTATTAAGTTTAACTTATTACTTTCTAATAAAGTTTTTAGATTTCCTAAAGGATAATATTTTTGAATTAAAAATATACAATTATCTTATTAAATTTCTATGATTTATTCGATTGGGCAAACATTTTTAAAATTCAATTAATTTAATTATATGGATTAATTTAAAATTTTATTATAAATATCTTTAGATGAATAATTTAGAATTTTCAAAAAATATTTTTAATTATTTTTTTCTATTAAATATATATCAGATTAAATCTCCTATTTAAATATATATCCTTACTCCTATATTTTATCTTTTATTTTATTTTAAAGCATTTTTTTAATTTTTTTTTTGTTAGAAATGTTTGTGTATTAATAAAAATGAATTTTATTTATTTTTTATTAATTTATAATTAGATAGTTTAGAGCAAAATATAGAAAACTTGTATATATATATATATTTTTATAAATAAAAAATAGGCTTTTTTATTGATGAAATCCAAAATTATTTACTATATTCAATATAATAAATATTATGATAATAACAAAAATATAAAGAATTTTTTAACATCAAATAATATAAAAAAATAAAAATATAAAGATATAAATATTATTAATGTTATTTTAAAATATAATGTATATTTTAAAAAAATATTATTAATAATATGCCTATTAATAATGTTTAATTTTTACAATATTTAAACAAATAATAACTTTGATTATTTTTTAAATAAGATTAGAAGTCTAAAATTAAACTAAAAACATGATTTTTTACCAAAACATAAAATTTTATCCACATTTAATTTGGCCAAGTTTTATATTTTTTGTTTAATATAATAGTTTATTTTTTATTAATTGAATAATATTTTTGTAAAATAAATCAATAATTATAATTATAATTAAATTCAATAAATATATTAATTCCTTAAATAAAACATTATATATAAAAAAAGGGTTAAATTTATAAAAATAAAACTATATAAAAAAATGAATAAATTGCATAAATATAAAAATATGAAATTAAGCTAACGACTTTAAAAGTTAAGTGATAAATCCGAAATTTTTAATTTTAATTTTATGGATCATACTCATACTAACTTTCATTTAATTGAAAACAAATCATAAGCAATATAAGCAATGTCAAATAGTTTAAATAGTTAAATTAATACATTAAAACACCATGCATGTATATTAGACAAATATGCTTTATCAGCATGCTAAATTGAAGTATTTAGGAGATTTTTTATAATTTATAAAGATGTAAAATATCATAAATGGGGAGAAGAAAATCTAAATTTTGATAATTTTTAAGTTTATATAAATCCTAAAATTCTATAAAATACATAATTTGCAGATTATACATGGGAAGAATGTGCATGCTTTCCATGCATTAAATTTAAAAAACTAAGATATAATAGAATACTTATTTAATATTAGAATGAAACTATGGATTAAATTTAAGAAGAACTATTCGGATGGAAGTCCAGAATATTTCAATAATAAATTGATTTAATAAATGGTGTCCTGCCTTTTAATGAAATAGAAAATCTTTTAGATTTACAAAATTTACCTTAATATGAATCAGAAAAAGACATACTTGATGATTATAATGTTTTAAATCTTTAAAAAAAAATTATTTTTATTTTTTTATTTTTTAGGTATTCAAAAACTATAGTCTTTTTAATGAAAAAAAAATCATATAATCTAAATAATAAAGAGGCCCTTAATATATTCCAGAATAAATAAATTTAAAAGTATAAAAACCGAAAAAATAATAAATAAATACTAAATAATAAAAAATTTAAAAAGAAAAAATGAAAACTTGAGATTTATGTATATATATATTTATTTTTTTGTAAAAAAAATTAAAAATACTTCATTTTTTTTGAATTAAAATTTCATAATTTTTTAGTAATTATTGATTGAATGCAAATAATAGACAAAATAACATTTTATTTTGTTAACAAAAAAAATATATATATAAAATTATTATAAAAAAATATAAAAACATATCTATATAAGTATTAGTTTTTTTACAAAAAAAATAATAATATTTTTTTCTTTTAAATAAAATGGAACTAATTGTTAAAGTATACAAAAATGATTAATTTTTAACAGAATAAAATTTATAATACGATTCAAATAGTATAGTTTCATAAAAATTAGCGTTTATATCAAATAAACATCCATAAATAATTAATTTTGGGTATTTACATGTAAATAAAACACTTATATGTATATTTACATCAGAATCAGTACCAGAAACAGATATTTATATTTCGCATAGTTTATTTATACAATTTAAGTCTCCGTTAAAATTAAAACTAAATTTAAATTAACAATTTCCAATATAAGATTTTGATTCTAATAACAGATATAATTTTATGCCAAAAGTGCCTTTATGTTAAAGAGTAAGCATTATAAATATTTAAAATAAAAACAGTGATTTTTTGGATTAAAGTATCTTAATAGAATTGATAAAAGATCCATTTTATGTGTAAATTGGAGACTTAATTCTTATTGATTTATAAAAATTGGAAGATTTTACGGTTTTAAAAAATGATAGAAAGAAAATAATGAAGATATTGAAATATAAATTAGGAAAAAAATAATTTTTATATTAAAATCAAAGGACTTATTTATATTTTTAAATTGATAATATTTACATTTTGTAAAATAATGAATATTATCCTATAAAAAATGATAATTTATAACAAAATTCTGTTTATATTGCAGATTTTAATCAAAGACTAACTGATATTAAAATTGAAAACTTTAAAATAAATAATATCCCTTTAATTCCTATAATTTAAGATAAATAATTTTTTTTAAAAAGATCTTTTATAGAAAATATAGTATTTCAAATTCCTTAATATAAAGATTTAATTTAAAAATTACAATATGCTATATAAATACCAAATAATATAATACTCTTAATAGGATAAAAAGGGTAATATACAAAAAAATATATATATATATATAAACTATTATTTAAAATATAAAAACAAGAACTGGAAAAAGCTTATATTATAATACATATGTGAATAAAATTCTCTTAATTACATCGAAAAGGACTTAAAGAAAACTTACAACCTAAAACTAATAGACAAGACAATAAACAAAGCCCTCAATAGAAAGCCTTCTTTAATCCATATAAGAAACACAAGAAGTTTAATCAATATTTTACAAAATAAATCTCTTGAAGAACCAGAAAAACAAATGATAAAATACATATAAGAAATTGTTAATAAATTTACAAAAAACCAATATAGTATTTACAAATCAACTTTAGTTTTTTCCCTTCATAAATTTGACGATAGTAGTAATGAATTAGATAATTAATTAAAGACAATTTTCGCTGATTATTTCTTTATAAATAAAAACAAAGACCTAAATTCAATTATATAAATTCTTTAATACTACACTGAGCCCCTAGACTAAGTAGAACAATAAGAAATTTTTGAGGAGAAATTTCTTAAAAATTGTTTATAAGTCCCAATATTTTCTTTTTAGAAAATACTTTAAAAAAAAGAATAAAATATAACTTTAAAATAACATATAACAACCTAAATAATAAAACTATAAAAGTCCCAAGAAATCGATTCTTTATAAATCCCAAATGTCAACTGGGAAGATGTAGGAGGATTACAAGAAGCAAAAAATGACATTATAGATACTATAATGTTACCTTAATTATATCCTTAAATATTCGATGAGTTTGTAAGACCGAGAACTGGTCTTTTATTTTATGGACCTCCGGGGACTGGAAAAACTCTATTAGCTAAATGTATTGCTACTGAAACTAAAATGAATTTCCTTTCAGTTAAAGGGCCTGAATTATTAAATATGTATATTGGTGAAAGTGAAAAAAATGTCAGGGAAATATTTGCTAAGGCTAAAAGAAATTAACCTTGTGTCATTTTCTTTGACGAATTGGATGCATTGGCTCCTAATAGGGGAAATGCGAGTGATTCTAATTAAGTAATGGATAGAATTGTTGCTTAGTTTTTGACTGAACTTGATGAAGTTAGTAAATAATAATCAAACCTTTTTATTATTGGAGCTACTAATAGACCTGATTTACTAGATTAAGGATTATTAAGACCAGGAAGATTCGATAAATTGATTTATTTAGGAATAAATAGTGATCATGATACTCGATTAAAAATATTGCAAGCACAAACTAGAAAAATTAAACTTGCAAATGATGTTTAATTTGAAAAAATACTTGAAAATGTTCCTAATAATTTCACAGGTGCAGATTTTTACGGACTTATAAGTTAAACAGTGTTAAAAGCTGTAAGAAGAAAAATAAAAGAAATAGAAGAATTATATGAATAAAAAAAATAAGAAAATGAAAAAAGTTTTTATTCTTTTTAAATGTTTAGTGAATATATATAAAATTAAAGATAAGATTTATGTGAAGTATATTTAAATTTTTAAGACTTTTAAAATGTACTAGAGAATATCGTTCCATCTGTTTCAAAAGCTGAATTATAAAAATATGAATAACTAAGATAAAAATTTTAATGAAAAAAATATATATTATAAAAATAATATATATAATATATATATATATTTATATCTAATATAAATCATAAAAGATATTTATTTATTTTATTTTAAAAGTAAATAAATTATTATAATTATGTTTTGTATTTTTTACAATTCTTTATTTTTTCTAAGTATTATCTTAATAAGTTTTTTTCTTTCATTAAGATTGGTGTCAATCTTCACGCGATTTTCAACCTATATTTGAGTACTTAAAAACATAATATAAAGGAAGAATCAATTTTATATCTGAAAATATTTTAACAAACTCTACTTTAGCCTAAAAATTATAAGTATAAGGCTATCCAGCTATATATTTTGAAAAAAATAACAATTATACTTAATACATATATGATATATCAAGTAAAAAGCAAATGAAATATTTTATTGATATGTTTTTTTTTTAACAATTACCAAAAATATCATCTTATCAAGAAGATATAAAAAGTAGATTTTATGTAATTTTAATAAAAAATGATTTACAACAAAAATATCCTTTATTATCAAAAAAATATTTCTAATTATCAACATAAAATTTTCTTTATACCTTCTATACAAGTACCGATTTCGAAATTTTAAATAGAAAAATCTTCGTTTAAAGATATAATACAAATTGTTCATATGTAATAATTTTTAGAAAAGACGATAGTTATGATAAATATTTTGAAATATGTTCCGATATAAACACTGAAATAACTAAATTTTTGAATTTTTTTTACGAAAATGAAAAGCCATTTAGAATAAACTATTTTAATTAAAGGATAAGGAATTATTTTATAAAAAAACAATATACTGCACTTGTTTTATTCTCTAGAAATAAGATTTATGAAGATTCTTATATTAGATAGAGTTATTATAATGTAACAAGAGATACATTTTAAATATTAGAAAGAAGAAAAGAAGATTCTTTTAACTATTTAGGTAAAAATAAAGATTTAGTTAAGAATAGTTTTGTATTTTTGAATCTGGATTAAACTTAGAATAAAATTTCAAAGAAATTGGCTTTTTATTTTGATGAAAATAATATTTAAAATAAACCTTCATTATGTTCTTTCTAATTTAAAGATGGAAAATTTCTAAAATATAAGCATAAAATTAAAAATTAGCACTTCATTTTTTTAAGTGAACTTCTTGAATTTATCAATAATGTAATTTATAAAAGTCCAGTTTCAATTTATTATAAAGTTAATTATTAAATATCTAATTGGAATTTTGATAATTTTATAAAATTAAATAATTATTATTATAATAGATTCTTTTCTACTTAGAAATAAAGCTTATTGTTAGTTTTTTTTATGTCAGATTTTTGTAAAGAATGTATGAAATTATTTAATATTTTAAGTTAAATATAAAAAAATTTATAAGAAGCAAATAATAATAATATAGTATTTAGTATTATAGATATATATTAAAATGACATGTCTTTTTTATAAATTTATATTTAATAAAAATTTGTTCCTTAAATAAGAATTTATTAACAAAAGAATGTTTACAAAGACATAAAACTAGATTTTAAAGATAAAAATTTAATTTAATTTATTTAAAAATAAATAGAAGAATGCTTTAATGACTTAAAAAAAGATTATAAAGAAGATTTATGATAGAAAATATTTAAAAAAAAAATTTTAAAAAAATTAATATATATAATTTCTTAAATCAATTTTAAAGTTAGTTTAATTTTTTTAATAGTTAAAAGTTTATATTCATCATTTCGATTTCTTTATTTTTATTTTAATTTAAAACTTTCTCTAATTTTGCTTTTAGTTAATTTAATTTATATTTAATATCTGTTTTTTCTTCATTTTATATTTTTTATAATTTATCAACTTTTATTATATTCTCTGTATTTTATCTTTAAGTATTAATTAAAAAGTTCTATTAAGTTTCATTTATGTTAGTAAAAAGTTTTTATTATTTATTTTTTTAATGATTATAATCATCCTCTACAGTCTTATTTTTTTTGATTTCTATTTTATATTATTTTTAAATCCATTATTTTTTTTCTTTATTTAATTTTTTTTTTAATCTAAAAAAAATTACACTCCTTAATTACCATTAGTTTATACATTTTCTTTGTTTAAATTTTCTTAATCATTTTTACTTTGATTCTCCTATTCAAATTAAAGTAATTAATTTTATAAATCTTCTATTTATTAAGTTAAGCTTTTGTTATAATTCTCCAGTTTTTTTACTTCTTAATTTTTTATACTTAGCATTTTTAAAATATATAAATAATTTAATTAGCTTTTTTATAAAAAACAAGAATTATTATTATTATGTTTATTATTATCCTCAATAGTTTATGTTTTAAATTTGATATCTATTTATTATTTTTAAACATTTTTATATGAAAGCATATTTTAAAGTAATTTATGAGACTTATTCTTTATTGTTTCTTTATTTTCTTTTAATTATAACTAATTTTTTATATTAATATTCTTAAAAACATTTTACTTAAACATATTTTGATTTTAAAAATCAAGTTTTTAACTATTTTTGGTGGAATGTGGTATATTTTTAAAATTAAAAAATACTATTATTAAAAAATATAAAAATAGCTTATTAAAAATAAATATACTCATTTAATTAGAATTATTGCTAGATGGAGAAGTACACATAGAAGTTGAACTAGCATTAAAATATTTATATTATTTGTTATAAGAAAATTCCTATTCATTTTTAAATTAAAAGAACTTTAAATGTATTTTTTTAAAATAAATAAAAATGTAAATATATATATAAATATTTATATATTTATATATCGTATTTTTTATATATATTTGAAAAAATATTAAATAATAGTTATTTATTTTTTTATAAAGATTAAAAGAAAAAAAAACATTTCTAAAAATAAAAATGTGTGGAAAATTTTTTTTAATTATTTTAAATATTAAAATTCTATATTAAATTATTTTAAATCACTTTAAGTATATTTTTTTTTTTGTTTTTCTATTTTATTTATAATTAATATTCATTTTTTATCATTTAAATTTACATTATATTAATTTTTATCATTTAATTATAATATATTTTATTTAGAATAATCATTTAATGAAAGTAAAGGAATTAAACATGGTGAAGCAAACATAGATTTACATGAATTCGGTGTTTTAAACTAAAAGTTACTTAAATTTAAATCAAATAATGGGCTTCCAGCTATTGTAGAAATAGTAGGACTATTATAAATTAATTAATTTTCTTTAACGAATTAATTATCAGTTTTAAGTATTTTTTTTTACTAATAAAATTTTTATTATTCACTAAAAATATTTTATTTTTATAATAAGTTTATTTTTTATTCGAATAATTAATCCTATTATTTACAACTATTAGTCTATTAAGCAGATTTATTAATTATATTATTAACAGCTTTTTTTTGTGCTTAAAATAAGGTATCTTCTATCTATTATTTATATTAAAAAGGTAATTCAACTTCATGTTCATCTTTATACTAAAAAATAATCTTCTTTAAATGTTCATAAGATTTTTATAAAGCTTCTTTAATTTATTCTTCTTTATATTAATTTTATTCAAAATTTTTAGATATCACTTTCGATTCATTAATAGAGACATAAGAGTTTATATTAAATTCTTTTACAAAAGGAGGATTTATTGTTGCAATAACAACTGTATTTATTATTTTTTGCTTTGTATCTCTTCTGGGCTTTTTCCCTATTCTTCCTTCTTTTAAATAAACTTTAAAGATAGCTCTACATGTTGATATTTTTATTCCATATATATCAGCAACCTATAATAAAAAAAAATTAAGAAAAAATAAAAAAAAATCATAAACTACTTCTTTAACAGATAAATGATTGTTTTATAAAGTTTAAATTATATTTTTTCTAACTTGTTGGTCAATCTAATTATACTTTTTCTTTTAATTTCTAATAATAGGTGATTTCATATTTTATATTATTTTGTGGTTTTAAAATTTAGCTATAAAAAATTGTGAAATAAATTATTATAAGCAATAAATTAAATCAATATATATATTTATTTATATATTAATAAATAAAGCAAAAATTAATATATATTAAAAAAAAAATATAAATTAAATTTTTGTTTTAAGAAATTTTATGATAATTAAATAAAAAAATATAAATAATTATATTAAAAATATTTGATTTTATAATAATTAAAATTAAATATAATATGTAAATTTATATATATATATTTATTTTTATAATTATATTTTTATTTTATCTGTATTTATATTTTATTTATATTAAGCATTGTTACATAAAATATTAAATTTTTTTTTTATTTTATATATATATTTTTTTTTAAAATATTAATATAATATAATTTTTTTTATATATAGTTTCTATTTGCTTAATTTATATACACACTTTTTTTTTATCAATTTTTTATTTAATATAAATAATTAATTTTATTTAATCTATTTTATTTCATATACAAATTATTTTTAATTAAAAATAATATACTCTATCAAATTAGATATAAATTAAATCATAGTTTTTTATTTTAAAATTTTTATATTAATTATTTTTCTTTATATATAAATTTCTTTTAAATTAAAATATGCTAAAATTTTAAACTATATAAATAAAATAAATTAAAATACCAATAATTATTTTTTACAAAAATACATTTATTATTTTTTCAAAAAAATATTAAATTAATTTTAATAAAAAATAAATAAAATTATTTTATTAATAATTTTTTTATAAATATAATAAATAAATATCTAATATAGTATTTTGTATAAGACTTAATAGTCAGAAAACTAAAAAGAATTTTATTTTTAAATTTTATAAAAATAAAATAATAATAAATCGCTAACCAAATAAAATGGTATAACTCGGTTAAATAAAACAATTATTATTAGGATAATATATTCCAATTATAAGTATAAATGGACCAATAACTCATAAAACGTAATTATTTAAACTTATAATCATACATATATATATATATATATAAAAGTACTTAAATTGTTCGTGATGGAGTTTAAAAAA